AGATAAAAAATTTGCATTTTTTTGATTTTTCGAATTTTTTGGAAAAATGTCATAACTTTCGTTCAAGTTAATATTTTTTAATCGGATAAGGCTATGATTGTAAGTTACGTTAATACCTAATAGTAATATAATATCTTATTTAAAAGTTTTTATTTCGATCTAATAAAAATTTATTTCGTTTAAATAATTTTATTTAGTTAAATCAAATAAATCTTAATTGGATTAATTAAATAAATACTTGACTCTAATAAATGAATTTATTTAACACAAATAATTTCTAAATTTTATATTTTTTTATGGATTGCTTCTAAACTTTCTATAGTTGAGTATTACATGTTATTTATTAACATTTTAGCATAATTTTGCAAAAAATAATACTTTGTAACTAAAATGGAAATATAAAAATATTTTTAAAAAATCGAAAATTTCTAAATTTTACATTTTTCAATGGATAGCTTTTAAACTTTATATAATTGAATATTACATATTATTTAGTCACATTTTAGCATAATTTTTCAAAAATACTTTCTTATAACGAAGATGTAAGTATAAAAATGTTTTGAATATCAAAAAATTGAAAAAATTATCTTGATACCAATTGCTATGAAGCTTAATTCAATAGTATTTGTGGGCTCTCTGATTTAACTTTTAGAGATATCTTGATCAATGTAAAGACAAAAGTTAAACACGGTGTTTATTTTGGTTTAAAACATTTTCCGGCTTTGTCCAAATTTTTCCTGGTTTATTCGACGGGTGTTTTTTAATAATACATTTAACAGGGTGTCTACCAACCAGAAAAGACGTAAAATATCAGGGAATTTAATGTAACCGAGAAAAACTGGATCTACTTGCTATACAATTAGTTCGAATTAGACTGTACTATAACTCAAAAAACTGGAGGAAATTTTAGATTGATTTTAATACATTATATTGATTGAAGTACTACAAATTGAGAAATATTGTTTTCTGCATTTGAATTAGTTAAAAATAACTAATTTGATAATAAAAAGTCGGTCACTGTTTCAAATGGTATTATTTTCCTAATGAAATAGACAATAGTAACTAATTATTATTTTTTCCCTGTCAAATCAAATTCCCGGCTATTTTCCGGTTTTCTAGGTTGGTAGATACACTGTTAAGTGCATTATCAGAAACTACAACCCGTCGAAGACGGGTACGACAGCTAGTACTGTATAAAACATAAAATATTTTTACAAATTAATTTATTGCAACTCTCACAGGTACCTAATGGCACTTTTTTTAACAGATACTTAATCAATATATCTGTCTCGTATTAAAAAATGTTTCATTAATTTCTTAATGTTAAGTACTTTGTGGTGAGTAAATATGTTTGAAAATGTACTCAAATTCTCACAAAACTCAATGTTAAAAGTTAAAAACAAAGACGCTTATAATTTTTTTCACAAGTACCAACAGGTCAAAAATTTAACTACATTTTTTTAAAACCTTTATCTAACAGTGGTACAAATTTCAACAAATTGGTAATGTTAATTCTATTTGCGAAAGAACCTCCTTATCATCTTGAAGAAGATCTGTAATTGCATTAACGTTTTATAAACATTGTACAATATAGAATAGTTTATACGAGTTTAAAAAAGGCATGTTTTGTAACTGCCCAAGTGCGAAATGCCAAGACTGCAAAAATGGCCCATCATTGGTCTAGTAATGTCTGCCGAGAATTGGCAGTAGTTACTGGGCCATTACTGGTGTTCAAATGTCCCATTGATGGGCCAATGATGGCGCCGATGGTCAGATTTTCAAATTTTTAAGACTGGGTCAGCTCTCGGCCCAATAATGGCACATTCATAGCAAAGTTGATCAATCTTTAATGGCAAAAATCAATTGCCAGTGATGTGCCGACCATCGGCCCATTAATGGCACATTAGTGGCAAAAATTTTGTGTCTTTGATGGCAAATTATAATTGCCAGAATTGGGACGTAGCTTGGCCCAGGAATAGCACATTAATTTCTATCATTTTGTATCTATGATGGCAAATTATAATTGCCAATATTGGGACGTAGCTCGGCCCAATAATGGCACAGTATCGGCCAGTGTAGTGTAGCTTATAAGAACCCTTTTGCTTTCTCGACTTCAAGTCAGAGTAGCAGAGTGGTCAGAGTGCTAGGCTGTGGTGCGTCAGGTTCAGGTATCGATCCCCGCGAGCGGTAAGAATTTTTCAAATATTTGTAAGTTTGCGTTTAATTTAGGGAAATAAGCTGTATAAATATTATAAATTAATTAGTTAATTAAATAAAAAATATATTTTTTTTAATTTTGTCAACACTGGGGAGTAATGGCAGCCAATAATGGGCCATTAATGTTTACCGAGAATCGGCCGATGATTGGCTGCCGACGGCCTACCGCGGTTAACCTCCCGACAGTCGGGCCACTATTGTCTGCCAAGAGTAGGCACTGACTATGCCGTCACTGGCCAGTTTTGGGCCGTTTTTAATTTCGCACTTGGGTGACTTTCAAATCTTTTTTGCTGATAACGAATTCTTGAAATAATACATTTTTCCAGAAAACTGACAATTTAAAGAAATAATTATAAAAATAAAAAAATATTATTATATTTATGTCGTAAAACTGTTCAGTGTGTTAAATTTAATTTTTGGTTTTCGTGTTTTATGTTTTTTTTAAATGCTTTAAACAAATTTGTAATCTTTTTCTAATATTTCAGAAGAAGAAAAAAACGGATCAGAAAGTCTTAGTCACATTTTTATATACACACAATAAAATAAGGTCTTGAGTATCATAAGACAAAAACAGAAATATTGCGCGCGCTTTAGCGCGCGTAGCTCTGCTAGTAATATAAAATAATTATTATTAAAATAATATAATATATATACAGTGGAGTCCGGTTATAACGACATTCAAGGGACCGAGGATTTCCGTCGTTATAACCGGACGTCGTTATAAGCGTCAAGAAGAAAAATACATATATATATTTTTTTTTAAATAATACAATAATATAATAATATTAATAATTTAACAATATTAATACTATAATAATATTAACAATATAATAAAATAATACCCTCACAGCACCGGGATATTCAGGATATCCCAGAGACGTCCTGGGGATATCGATTTGTTTTCGGAAGTTTGGATATCTCTGGGATATCCTAGGGACGTCCATGGATATCCAGAGGATAATCCAGGGATATCCAAACTTCCGAAAACAAATCGATATCCCCAGGACGTCTCTGGGATATCCTGAATATCCCGGTGCTGTGAGGGTACATATGCTTTATTGAAAAGATTGTCAAATAGATGGAGCTATGGACATAGGAAATCGGTAATTAGTCGTTATAACCGGACCTCGGACCAAATAAATCTGAAAAACACGTCGCTATATACGGAAGGTCGTTATAACCGGACGTCGCTCGTCGTTATAAGCAGACGCGTCTCCATAGTAATTTCAATGTAAACCAAACTAAAAGGTTCGAATAGGTCGTTATAAGCGGAGTCGTTATAAACGGATTCTACTGTATATATATATCCTATAAATTAACAATTATTAAAATTCATTAAGTATAATTTATTAATAATTGTTTATTTATTATTATTTTTTAAATTCATAATTTTTATTTTTAAATAAATGTATAATAATTAATTATTTAATAACTATTATTATTCGTTATTTATAATTTAGTTTTTATTATTAATAAATAAACTTTATTATAATGTTGTACTTAGAGAAAAAAAATTATATGTATTTTCGTTTTTTAAATATATTACCATAATTATTTTATAAAGTGTTTTAAAAGAACACGCTTTTTTAACTTAAATAACTGTTTTAAAAAAGTTAATTTTAAAAAATTAAATTTATTTACATGCTTTTAAAACGAGGAAAACTGTCGAGGCCCTGATCAGAGCCCTATTTAATATCTAGTGAACACCTCACTTGGGGTTTTGGCCAGAAATTCTGGTCAAACCCACAAAATAAAAAAATTATTCAAAACGATAGTATAATTACTCCCTTTAATTGTATTCTTCAATTGTTCATTATTTTTTATTAAAAGTAATTTTAGAGATTTAATTTTTTACACTTTATTTAAACAAGGAAAACTGTCGAGGCCCTGATCAGTACCCTATCTAAAATCTAATGAACACCCTACCTGGGGTTCTGGCTAGGAATTCTAGTCAAACCCCTAAAATAAAAAAATTATTAAATAACTAAAATAATAATTGCCTTCCATTGTTAATAGCTTCTACAACAAAAAGGAATTTTAAAAACTTTATTAAAAAAAAAAATTTTAATAGGGAAAACTGTCAAGGCCCCGACCAGAACCCTGTTTTAAATAGGGCAAAGTGGGGCATTTTCTGCACGGGGTGTTCAAAAAATTCGAATATCGCATATTGTGCGTTTAGGCGCTTTAAATGTGCAGCCAAGATTGAAAAATTAAGTACTGGGAAGTGGAAGAAGTTTGGAGCACATAAAATTAATTGCTTAAAACAGAAACGCAATTTTAAAAAAGAAAAAAAGCAGAAAATGAAATACTAAGATTGTGTAGAGAAAATTATAACGCTAATCACTCTACAATTTTTAAAGATGTTTGCAAACGGTATTTTATTTCTAATTTGTATTAAGAAATCTAGATCTTTTATTTGTATGTATTCTACTTTAACCTATTTTTCTAGATTCAACGTAAATCTTTCCTATCAAGGATTAAGACCTCGCATGCAGAAAGCAAAGATGCAGTCATACACTGAAATTGAAACGGGAGTGAGTTTTTTCAAAGAATTAAAAAACAGCGATACTTTTTGGAAAGAAATAGACAAAGGGACCGTGATTCTGAAAAGGTGGCAAAAATTAATGGACAAATTCAAAACATGTACATAGATGCATCGTTGCAGGTTTATTATTTTGCAAATTGAAACTTAATAAACAATACTTGATTGTCAAAATAAATGTTATTAATAAATGTTAAATTGGTGTTTCAGATGTCATTTAAAAAATTTAGCGTTGCACTCATAAATATTTTGTTCATGGATGGAAAAAAAGTGAGTACTAGTATTTATAGAAATTTTGAAAAATGATTTATTAATGTAATAATAATTGTTACGTATGACTTCGTAACTATTTTTATTTTTTTAATAAATTAAAAATTCTTATATTATATAACTTCATTTAAAAAATTGGGAATTTTGTAATTAGATTTAAGTACACTATAGCAAACAAATCATTCACACAAAGACAATTCAAACTATCTATCATTTAAAAGTAACAAATTTACTATTTGTTATCCTTAATTTTACCTAAATAGTAATTTGGATATATTTTCTTTTGCACTAACAATATTAAATGACATTTTAATTTATTAAAATTAAGAATCGCTAAGAAGTATGGACAACACCCATATTTCGAAAGAGTTATTTTCCAGTGGAAGACTCTAAATGTATTGTTTTAAATATCAAGAAAAGCAACATACACATTAAAAGTATAGTGGATTTAGAGCATTGAACTCGTGTTAGCCAACTTTAGGAATTTGCAAGCTTGCGAAAAGCTTGCCTGGCAACAAAGAAGTTTAATGAACTGTGTGTAACAGTCTCCCCACTATTAACATTTTAATGCAATTTCAGGGTGTGATCCATAACTTCGATCGATTTAACGATTGAGTCTGAATTTGTTCCTCCCGCAGTAAGGCTGCGTAATATATTGTTTCTACCGAAAATTGGTAGAGTTTATATTTTGCATTTCCCGCAAAGTCGGAGGTTTATATTTTATCCCCAAAAGAAGGGTTGATTTGTGAATTTAATAATTATAGTGAATTTATACGACATAAATTGTGAAGTGAAATATTTATAATAAAAAAAAGTTGATTTAAATATTGAATTGAAGTTCTGTGAAAGAAAGTGATTTGAGTAGTAATAAAGTAGTAAAGAAATAATTTGAATTGAACAAAAATAAATTAAAATAATTAAAGTCTCATTGATATTAGAAATATCAACCTCCGTCTAATGCACTTAAAATCGATTGATTAAATAATATCATCAACCAAATATTTAAATGCAGTGACCCTGTAGTTTGAATGTTGTAAGTTGATTTGAAATTATTAATTTATTATTGTTGGAACAAATCAAAGAAGATTCTTAATAAAGAAATTAGAGAGAATAAGCGATAAGCAATTTTGATGACAATAGTGTCATTTTTCAAGTGACATAACTTGGGTTATTTGAGGAAAAACACAGAAGTCTAAGGGTAATAACAATATATAAAATATGTTATTTTTATTGGTGAGTAAAATTGTCAAATAACTACTATTATTCACACACACATTGAGAGTCATACACAATACTATTTTACAAGAATTTAATAAATTCTATAAAAACCTTTTTCTGTTTATATTAACTAAATATAAAATGTGCAATAACTATTGCTAAAGAGTTACAGCTAATTATTTGGAATAACTATAATTGTCAATATATGTAAAAATATAAGATACACATTATTGTTTCTAATGTTGGAGAATTTAAAGTTGAATAAACTGTGAGAATCACATTACACACATATTGTAGTGTTTTATTACGATTAACTTTTTCACACCTGTCTTTTTTACTTTATTCCTTTTATTTAAATATAAATACCGTCTATCCGGGATTATTGAACAATAATAATCTAAGAAAGGATCCACTACCTTTAAATAAATAAATTATTTTCGAAGGGCAAATAACGTTTTACCTTGAGACATTTTTATTTAAATTTTTGTGTTTAATTAATTTGTTAGCAAATTGTTAAAACTAGTTTTTGTAAAAATAAGAATTTTGATTAATAAATTAAAGTATTCAAAATTCATCCTTAACAATAATAATATTTATTTTCTAAGGCGTATCTTGCTTACCTTGTTTTCTCATAAAATTTCAACAAAAAAATGAAAGAAAAGACTATTGATGCACTACGTGAAGAAGTACATTTGGAAAATTTGGATAAATGCTTTGGACCCTATGATTCAGAAATTATGGCCACAATTATTGAAGTATTTCCTGATGTCAAATATTCCTGTACGTGGTGGCATTATAGACAGGTGAAAATTAATAATATTTAAATTTTATGTACGATTATGTTAAATATTAAATTAGAATTTTAATAATTTATGAAATTTATTTCTGCAGATTAATGGCCGAACGATAGTGAAATAGAAATCGAGTACGAACCCAAAAAGTTAGGAACTATTCCAAAAGAAAAAAATATTGAGTTTCATCGGGAATTAAACAAAAAATCAACCGAGTTAGATCAATTCAGAAATGAAATATCGATACGCGATAAAGAATTAGATCAACTTAGATTAGAATTAGACCGAAAGAAAATTGCGATGGAAAATGTAATGAAAAATAAAAATTCGAATGACGAAGAAAATTTCACGGAAAGCACGAAAATGGAAAATCCAAATGCCCAAGTCGACAACAATCGACATTTTGGAAATTTCAATAATCATTTTCCTTTTGGCATGTTACAAACACCTTTTCAAATCATGTCAAATTGGCCAGTTAAATTTCATAATAACAAAACGGACAACCCAGTGCAATTTCGTGTGTTAGAAAACATAGACGCAGTATTAGCAGACGAAGCCCTTGAATGATGTAGGACGGTTAGAAACAATTGGTTTTCTCTACAAGATTTTCGTGAAGAATTCGAAAGAACATTTTTAGACGAAAAGTTCTACGAGAAAATTAACACGAAAATCAAATATTGCAATCAGAAAGAGGGCGAAGAAATTCAAACCTTTTTGATTGGAATAAGAAAACTATTCGGAAAATTAAACCCGCGAAAAGGTTTACACTGGGAATTACGCCGTGCATATGAAAATTTGCGTCTCGAGTACAAGATGTACATTCAAAGAAACGATTTTAAAACGTTTGAGGAACTAGAAAGTTTAGGTAAAGAATTCGAAATTGAAAGAAATAAGTCTAAAATTCGCGGACAATATTTGAAAATAACAACGGATAAAAACTCGTCTAATGATAAATCGAAGCAAACTACGAATCAGGGAAATAACGGAAATTCTAGAAAGTTTGGTGGAAACTCGAGATTCCAATCAAATTCTTCTGCAAATTATCCCCAAAGAAATCAGCCGAAAATTACTTTTCCACCGGACGCAACTACAAACGGTAGTAATGGTCAGAAAATGTTAGAAGGTCCTTCCGGTGACAATAATAATTCGAAAAATAGTCTTCAAGTGGCAGTACCAAACCGTTCTTCTGCAGGGAATGGTAATACTTCCAAGACAAACCAAAACGAGAAAAGTCATCCGAAAAAATGCTACGGTTGCGGAAAAGTAGGGCACATTCGTAGAGATTGTAGGTCAGAAAATCAGGGAAACGAGTAGAGGGAGTACTGAAAAATTCAGTATCCCCAAAAAACATCAAGTTACCAGAAAGTTGCGAAACGTTAGTGAAAGATTTACGATTTTTCACTAACATAAAATATCAGGATACAATTTTCGAAACGTTAATCGACACAGGCGCTACGAGTTTATTTTGTGGTCACAAAAATTGGGTATATTTACAATTATACGGTGTGAAATTAGAACCAGTGAAAAATAAACTCGTGACAGCAGCCAACGGTGAAAGTTTACAAATTATAGGAAAAGTTACGATTCCGGTAGAAATCGGAAATATAACAAAAAATTTGACTTTCAGAATTGTCCCAGGTTTAAGACAATATGCAATTTTAGGAATAGATATGCTGCGCGAAGTAGGAATGAAATTAGATTTCAAATCTGACACTTGGTCATTGAAAGATTTGCCTAACGTACGTTATAAAATCGGAGATAGGGAAAATAAAATAGTCGAAAAAATGGTCAAAGCTGTTTTGACAAAACGAGAAGTGAGATCACAAACAGGTTGGTCCAGTTCACAACGAGAAAATCGAAAAAATTTCGCGCAAAAATCCCAGGAAAATAGGTCAAAATCGAGAAAAAATTTTGAACCGAAACTCGAGAATAAAAAAGAGAATTCAGGAAAATTCGAGAAAAAATTCGAATTAGGAAAATCAGTTTAATACAGAAAATTGTTGGAAAATTACGAAAAATTTTCCAAGGATCGACCCGAGAAATGAAAGAAAAATTCCAAAAATTATACCAAGACAATCCTTACAACAGTCGAAAACACCTACCCAAATTCCAACTCCAAAACCCCGAAAAATTCTTCCAAAATTAATGGAAATCCCATTATCAAACAGATTTGATAATTTAGAAATGGACTCAGGTCTTGACGAGACTGACGAACCATTTTTGTTCCCAATCGACAATCCCCGTAACAAAAATTGGAGAAAGAACAAGAAAATTAGAGAACGCGAAATAAGTTCGAAAATTTGGCGAAAACAAGAAAATTCGCAAAAATCGGAAAAATTAGAATCGAAAAATTCTATGGCGATTGGAAATAAATTTCGTATACCGTTAAATACGAAATGGGTCAATTTCAAAAACAACGCGATAATGAACAACAATATTCAGGAAAAAATATTGCGAGAATCGAGTTGTTTAGATGAAACGGAATTTTGTTCAGGACTAGTCGAATTGTCCGAAGAAGAACAAGAATTTTTAAATAAATTTTTAAAAATTAGATTACCACCCCCCGAGGAAATTTTGAAAGCTACTCAGTTGACAGAACACGTAATTGACACGCAGGGTACAGCGCCGATAAAACAAAGATATTATTATGTTTCGCCGAAAATTAAGGAGGGAATAATTAAGGAAATTAAGAGAATGTTACGCGAAGGTATTATCGAGCCAAGTAATAGCAATTGGTCCAATCCAATTGTTATGATTAAGAAAGCCAACGGAACATACAGATTGTGCCTAGACTTTCGGAAAGTCAACGCAGTCACGAAAAAAGATCTGTATCCGGTTCCATTGATGGCAGAAATTTTAGATATGCTCAGAGCCGCAAAATATATATCTAAGATCGATTTAAGGTGGGCGTATAATCAAATCCCATTGAGTGAAAAGTCCAAGGAAAAAACGGCTTTCGTAGTTCCTGGTTTTGGAATGTTCCAATACAAGCGAATGCCGTTTGGACTTTGTAATGCTCCCGCAACGTTCCAGCGGTTAATGGACAAAATTATTACGCCTGACCTTAAACCGAAAGTTTTCTGTTATGTCGACGACATAATTATAGTTTCTCAAACGTTTGACGAACACATGAAATATCTGGAAATAGTATTAGGAAAATTAAAAGAAGCAGGGTTAACAGTTAATTTCGAAAAAAGTGAATTCAGTTGTGCGGAGGTAAAATACCTAGGTTTCGTAGTTAACGAAAATCAGTAAATAGCAAAATTAAAACTGATCGAGTTGTTGACGACAGCTCCGATCTTAAACCCTCCTGATTTTCAACACACTTTCATACTAGAAACTGACGCAAGTGACACGGGTCTAGGCGCAGTTTTGACACAAGACATTGACGGAAAAAACGTAGTAGTTGCGTATGGAAGTAAAAATTTGAGCGAAACGGAGAGAAAATATTCGACAACGGAAAAGGAGTGTCTCGCGGTAAAACGTTCATAGGAAAATTTCGACAATATTTGGAAGGTAGTCATTTTAAAGTAATAACTGATCACATTGCTTTAAAATGGTTACACAATTTAAAAAATCCTACAGGACGCTTGGCGAGATGGGCGTTGGAACTATCGGAACATGATTTCAAAATAATATATCGAAAAGGTTCAGCGAACGTAGTTCCAGACGCGTTGTCAAGAATTTTCGAGGAAAAACAAGAAATTTCTGAAGAAATAAAAATCAAAAGTAGCGAAAATCAAACAGAAAACAGTTGGTATAAAACAAAAATGAGATTAGTAGAATCAAAACCTCACGAACACGAAAATTGGCGAATTCGAGACAAACAATTATATTTTCATAGACCCGATCCGTTAAAATCTCCCCTCCTTAAAGATGAAAATCCGTGGAAATTAGTTATTCCGGAAAATTTGAGAAAACAGGTATTAGTCGAAAATCATGATAACGTGCAAGCAGGACACCTTGGTGTGGAAAAAACTTTCCATAGAATTTCCGAAAATTTTTTCTGGCCTGGAATGTAGACGGAAATAGTAAAATATATTCGAATATGTAAAATTTACCAACAGACAAAAGCAAATAACAAACCGAAAATAGGACCAATGGGTAAACGAATCGTGGAGGAACCATGGACGATGGTTGCTTCAGATATAATAGGCCTATTACCCTTATCGAAAAATAGGAACAAATATATTTTAGTATTTCTGGACATTTTCACAAAATGGGTGGAAACAATTCCAATTAAGAAGGCAGACGGAAAAACTATCGAAGCAGAGTTTCATAAAAGAGTAATTTCCAGATGGGGAACACCCAGAATTTTAGTTTCCGACAATGGCACGGAATATGCCAATAAAGTAATACGGGAAATGTTGGAAAAATTCGGAATAAGACACTCTTTTACGCCAAAGTACTACCCGCAAGCAAACCCGACCGAAAGGTCTAATAGATCGATTAAAACGGCAATTAAAGCTTATTTAGATAAGGAACAGAATCTTTGGGATAAAGAAATCGACGATCTACAATTTGCTTTAAATACCTCTAAACATTCCTCAACTAATTTTACCCCAGCTTTCCTCAATTTAGGTCGTGAACTTCAACCTTTTCAAACACTGAAAAAAGATTTCGAAAATCCGGACGAAATTGAATTTCAGGAAGTTGACAAGTGGACAGAAAGACTGAGACGCTTACAAATTATTAAGGACGAAGTTCAACGAAATTTAGATAAGGCAAACGAAAAACAAGCGAAATATTACAATTTGCGTAGGAGAAAAGTAGAATTTGAAGTAGGAGATCTTGTATGGAAAAAAGACAAGTCCTGTCTAACAAAGATTTAGGAATCGCGCGTAAATTGAAAAAAGATTTCGAAGGTCCGTTCAAAATAATTCGAAAAATTTCCCCCACAATGTACGAATTAGGAAAAATTCGAGGAAAATCAATAGGATCGTCAAATATAAATGATTTGCGAAAATTCGTGGAAAACGAAAATTAGCGAAAATTTTCAGAAAAATTCAATAGAATTAAATGAAAATTGTAGGAAAATTAAAGAAAATCTTCAGGAAAATAAAATAGAATTAAATGAAAATCATAGGAAAATTAGAGAAAATTCTCAAGAAAATTAAGTACAAATAGTAGGAAAATAAAATAAGACAAAATAAGACAAGACAATTATTTTTATTTTTTTTATTATATTAACGAATGTAAACTAAAAACAAAATTTTCTTTTCACAGAAAATGAAACCGATTCGTCTCAATGGAGGAGAAGTAAGAGAAATAACAATTAAAGGAATCGAAACAGAAAAAATAAAATTAAAAAATCAACTCGAAAGACTACACAAAACAATAACAGAATTACAAAGTAAACTAAAATCACTAGAAAAAACAAAAGGACAAATAGAAGGAACACTTCTTAGATTAGACCATTGGGAAAACAGCGTCAAGATGATGCAATTCTCCGATGAAGATAGCACCAACTCGTCAGACGAAATGGAAGAAGAAGACGAAATAGAAGAGAGGAAAAACCTAGAAAGAATAGACGAGAAAGAAGAAGACGAAATAGAAGAGATGAAAAATCTAGAAGTGATAGAAGAGAAGGAAAAAGAAGACGAAATAGAAGAGAGGAAAAACCTAGAAAGAATAGACGAGAAAGAAGAAGAAGACGAAATAGAAGAGATGAAAAATCTAGAAGTGATAGAAGAGAAAGAAGGAGAAGACGAAATAGAAGAGATGAAAAATCTAGAAGTGATAGAAGAGAAGGAAGAAGAAGACGAAATAATAGAAGAGATAGAAGAAGAAGTGATAATAGAAGAGAGAGAAGAACGAAACTAGATAGAGGAGGAAGAAGAAATGGAAATATTATAACACAGAGGAGAACTGGAAGAAGTAAACGAGCGAGAGGAAACAAACCCAGAAAATATCAATTTCGAAAAACACACATATTCATATACTAAGGAAAAACGAGTGTTTTTGGGCATGCTTCGTTGGAGGTGTGACCGTAGAGAAATCTTGGAAAACAACACCGAGGAGAGGAATCTGCAAGACAGGGAATGGAACGAACTTAGATCAAACAATGAAATGGAAATCGAAGAATTCATAAGAAATCAAAGAAGATTATGAACAAAATCCACACACATAATTATTTTTTCTTTTTGTCACTTTCAGATTCCAAACTCAACACGAAATTAACCTATTACATTTACCTTATTATACACAAAGTGTGACTTACTTTATGTTTTCTCCTTCACACAAAATTTTTCTTTCTTTTTTCCTTTTACGTATAATCAAACAAACACTTTTAGTTAAAATTTTTTTTTCTCTCGGTGTGAATCTTTTGTAATTAAAACGTACGTACAACAATTACAAAATAAAACTAAGATCAAAATTTAATTTTGTAATAAACGATAATAAAAATTGATGCGAAATAACAAAATAAAAGATAACAAAATAACAAAATTTCTTTTATAGAATTTTTTCTTTTCTACCCTAAAATAAAATAAAACGAATTAATAAAACAATAACAATAAATAAAATAACAATAAATATAACAAGCAAAACAAAATAAGAAAGAACAAGCAAACAAATAAAACAATAAGACAAAGATTAAACAATATAGACGATTATTTTTAATTTTTTTTAGAAACTAGTGTAGAAAAATTCTTTTTTTTTAAGAATGTTACAGGAAATAATGGAGACAAAGGAGACTTGGCGATGCAGATTCTGCAACAAGAAGGTGTGGAAGACACATTATATAATCCACGATGAATTCTGCAATAAAAGGAACCTAAAAGCAAAAGCAGGTTACTGTGAGCCATCAGCCAACGGGAAAAAATACATAAGAACCAATTGGGACAAACGTCGAGAGGAACTAAAGGAATTTTTGGAGAATAGCTTAGCAGAAGATTCAGGGAAATTAGCAGAAAATATTAAAAACGAAAATTTAGAATTTATAGTTCTCGATACTGATTACGAAGAATTATTAGAAAATTAGCTGAAAATTTTTGTTGTTGTAAGGGGTTACACTTCGTCCCGTTTAGGGGAAGGGGGTGTAACATGGCGTTACAAATTCTCCCGCGTCTGCTGCGAATCGGGCGATTGAACCCGGAAACGGCCGAAGGGCTTCGAGGGTGTCAATCGCCAAATTCGCGGACAGACGCGACACTCGTTGTAATTACTCTCTCGCTAGAACATCGTGTTTGTGTTATCTTTTTGTGTCGCCGAACGCCAGTTTCCTCACCTCCGTTTGCGGTGATTTCTCCTCATAATACATCACCAGTAAGTTGGATAAATAAATTATTGTATTAAGTGAATTGCTTATCTTGTCTATTCTTCCCTTTCCCACCTTTTCCCACATAGTATAATTGGAATCATCGGGCAACCAATTATATGATATATAATTATTCTAATAATAAATATTTAGATTAGAAACAAAGCAGTCTATGTTACATCTGACAACTGAGTGCACTAAATTTATGAAAAGCATAAAGTGTAAGTAGAAATTACTATATTTAAATTTCTATTGTCTAAGTGCAAAAAAAGGAAATAAAGGTTTGTTAATTAATTCGCTTCGCTTCGCCTACAATTTGTTCCAAAAAAGTGCTAGTTCAAAAATTGGCAACTGCTCGCACTAGTTTCCGAACGATATTTTTAGTACAACAAAAAATTAATATACGTTCTCTTTTTATTAATCGCTTTTGAAATAATTAATTATATTAATTCTTGAATATAATATTATTTAACAGAAATAGAAGAAAGTGACACCGATGACAGTGGTACAAAATGTGATACAGACTGAAATTCATCTGATTTTAGTAATTATTCAGCTAAGGACAACAATGTGAAACCAGAGATGAAAACAAAGACCGACTTGAGAATATTAACTAAATTATAATTAAATTAATGAGTTTCATAATATTTATGCAGAATAACTAATCAACTTTTAAATATATTTGCAATTTGTATTATAACAAATTGGGATAAATGTATTATTATGTATGTATTGCAATTGTGCTGAAAGTTTTTTATATTTTTTTTAGAAAAGCTGGAAGATATGACAAAACTTCTTAAAGCTCGTAAGTATAAAATAAAATAATTAGAATAGGATTGACACAGGTCTTCAAAAAGTCAGGAAAAATGAAATTAGTCAGAGAATTTCATCAAATATTTAATAATAATTCATTAATAATTCCTTAGAAAAGAATTTTGTTAAAAACTATGTCAATTTTAAGAAATAATTGATATAAAAAAATTTTTAAACAGTTTTTGTAAACTTTAATTGTTGTTAAGACAAAAATAAAGTAATATTTACTTTAAAAATTTATTCTATATAAATATATATATATATATATATATATATATATCCATATACAAAATTAAAGTTTTAAAATATTATATAAAATTCTTAGAAATTAGGTTTTTAAAATATTTCAATTTTATTTTTTAAATATTATTATTAAATGTTTACATATAAGTAATTGATCATTCAAAAAAAATAAAAATTTCGTACAATTTGACTTTTTTAATGATTGAACTTCTTTTGAATTTTTTTCCATATGAATCAGAAGAATATTAAAATTTTGGCTGAAAATCTGTTCAAAGTTAGAGAAAAACAAAATCGATTTTTTGAGGAAGTCATATAAAAATATAAAATTAGAATTTTATAAATTTTACTTAAATGTTTTTTATTTTTGTTAAACGATGCTGACGAAAGCGATAATGAAATTTCGGAAAAGGATAAAGAAATCCAGAATTCAAAGGAAAGTGATGATAATTTCAACAATAACAATTTCGGTAATTAATAATTAATTAGGAATTGCTTATTGTATATTAAAATAAATTAATAATAATTTAATTGTATTCTATTATGATAAGATTAATCTTATTTTTTATATTTTATTAGATGAAAAAAAATCAATGATAAAAGAAGACAGGCCTACTCTTATGCACTAAAAATTTCCACGAAAGGGAATAAATTTAAACGTTGTGATTTCGGTATTTTGCACACAGTTCTTTTAGTAATTTGTTAAATTTTCTTATGATATTAAAATTTTATTTAAAATACTACAGATGTCTTTATTAAAATTTCAGATAATACTAGAGAAAAAGAAAAGATTGTCCAAAATATTGAGGTTAAAAAAAATACGGAAGTGCTCATAAAATCCATAGAAAACTTATCTCAAGAAAAGAAATTAGTAAAATATGAAGAAAATAAGTGTAATATATTTTTTAAATACATAAATAAAATACGTAGACTAGGTTTTATTTGCGATATATAATATAAAGTTTTCAAATTACAGGGGAAAAGCAGCTAAATGAATCGACATCTCCATCAACCTTCGTTGGAAATATAAATTCAAGGTTGCAATATGATGTGAAGGCCCTTTTTGGTAATATATTGTTAATGTATAGTTAAATATATTTTTTGAACAAAATTGCGCTTATCATAATTAGAAAAATATATTTTCACAGATAATCCTGAATTTCAAATTATGCTAAGGCAAGCATTTCAAAGTTTTATCGACAATTGCACATTTGAAAGAACATATAAGGAAACGTGGTCATTGAAACATGCGGAAACAAATAAAGGAAATATGAAAATTAAGATTTAAAATTTTTTTGAAAATGTAATTCATATGGAAAAATAATAATTTAAAAAAATGGTTTGATGACATTAAAGTTCGAGTTAGGGGAGAGTGGGGCAAAATGGGGTACCTTTTTGAAATTGGCTGTTTACAGAGAACCAAACGAATAAATCGATTCAGCTAAACTTCAGAATTCTTCTTAGTACACTTAGCTTTGAGGAAATTATGATAATAGCGGAGAAAAAAATTTTTGATAGAACTTATATCGTATTTTCTGAGAAAGTGCTAAAATCCCATTTTGCCCCACCCGTGGGGCAAAATGGGGTGGCATCAAATAACTATACAAAACATTGAATATTTTTTCAAAATTCATTAAATTCTTGTTGTATGAGATTATAAATAAGAACAGAAAGTAGGATTCTTTATTACTATAAAAAAACAAGTAATATTTATTAGAATTTAACAAAAAAACATGGATATTGCAAAATATCGATATATCGATTATTAAACATCGATAGTATAAATGCTTCGAAACAAAACTATCGATTCTTTTGCAGGAAACCTTTAAATATGCATAATATAATGTTTTTAAATAGTTTTAATGAAACGGCGTAGCTTCCGGCATGTCCCACACTTAGGTACCCCATTCTGCCCCACACTGCATATTAAAACAAAATGCAATGTTCACAAGTTATTGTAAACAATTAAACAATCTATTCTATTGGAAATTACTCTAGAATAAGTACTGAAAAAGATCCCACACTTGCCAAATTAAATGCACTATCCCATAAAGTTTTGTAAGCACTTTAATTTTGAAAAAAATTCATATTTTTTTTGCTTAAAACTTAAAAGTTGTATAACTTTCAAAATAAAATTTTCTTTCGAGTGTCTTTATAATTAATAACAGTTTCTTATCAACATGAATGATATATGTCGAGGATAAAAAAATTAAAAGTATCTATCATGGAAAAACAGAGGTACCCCATTTGACCCGCCTACCCCATTTTGCCCCACTCTCCCCTACTACGAAATTCGAACCGAACCGAGTTTTTTTTTGTTTGGCGTCGTTCAAACGATGAATTTTCGACATTCGAGTCAGTCCAGTTCGAATGTCGAAAAACCGACATTAGATTTAGCCTAGTTCGAATGTCGAATTTTCGACATTCGACATTTCGGCGCCCCAAAACCGAACAAAACTCGGTTCGGTTAAAATTTTGCACAGCTCTAAGAAATACCCCATATTACTAAATTTCTATTTCAGAAATCGGAAAAACTAAAGATATTATTTCATCTGAAAAAAGTGCTTCAATAAGTCCAAAAGAAAAGGAGCTTTTCACATGTATTGTGCAAGAAGAACAGTGCGATGGTAAAATATCAAGTTTTACGCATGAAATTAAAAATTTTTAATCTTCTAGTGACGTACAACTTTATTTGTTTTTCTTCTCGTTTTCCTATAGATAGGAAATATTTTTTCTTTAATCATTTGTATTCTTAAATAATTTTTTGTAAAATTATAGAATTTCAAAAAGATTCAGATTTACAATTTTTTAAAATTGTAAATTATATGAAAAAATAATAATTTTAAAAAATAGTTTTTCAAAAGAAACAATGTAAATGTAAAAATTGTATCTTTATTTATCTATCGGAATAATATTTCTAAATGTTATAATTATTTAAAAAGTGAAAATCTTTAAATTAGCAGTGATTAAAATATTACTAAATTTCTATTTTCAAAATAATTTCAAAAAAATGTACTCGTTTTAAATAAAAATACTTGATACTTATTTTTCTCAGCAATTATTAAAAATCATATTTTTCTTGTATGTGAGTGTTACGTCACCGTAACCTATTTTCAATAATAATATGTAAAATAATAATTAATCTTAATAATTAATAATAATAATAATCATATAAATTAATAATATTAATAATAATAGTAATAATTATGATAAAAGTTAATAACAAAATTATTATTTACATATTATTATAAATAATAACTATAAATATTAATAATAATCAATAATAAATTGTAATAATAAACATAAACAATAATAAATTGTAATAATAAATAATAACAAATTTAAACAATTATAATTAACAACAAAGTTAAACAATTATAATTAACAAATTGTAACAATTAATAACAAAATTATAAAATAACATGAGTAATAAGGGAATGTACACGTGCGATCTAATAGTGAGTCACCACAAGTGTTCCAGTAACAAAGGGGTTTCTAAAATGCATGGAAACTCGTACAATTCGTAAAATACATGAAAACGTGGACGATTCGTGAAATACATGGAAACACGTACAATTTCTAAAATACACAGGCAAATTTGGGTATAAGAAGAGCCAGACCATCAACAGCAGTTCAGTCTAAGAAGTCAGTCTAAGAAAGCAGTCTAGAAAAGCAGTCAAGAAAATGTAGTCGTCAATATTATAAGTCTCAAATTGAGAAGTGGTGCTCTGCACAAGTCAGTCTTAAAATTTTATCTATAACAAGTGGTTCTTCACGACGCAGTGCTCTAAACCCAGTTTCAGTAGTTGTCCTTTACTCTACGTATATTTCAAAAGTGCATTTTGGAAAGTAAATCTGGAAGTCAAATTTGCCATTTGAAAAGAGTGTTCCTGTTTCTCGAGACACAATACTGCATCCACTTAGTCAAGCATTAACGGACTAGAGCCATTATACCTTAGCGACTAGCATCACCCTTTGTCCCAAGGTAAACAATCAAAGCACTCTAAGACTCACATTAGAAAGCCTATTTCTATCTCTTATTTTCATCAATTTTATCTTATTTCATAAAATACACATATATTTGTTCAACTAAAGTAATTTCTTGTTATTTACTACCCCGTCCCTATTTTAATTAATTTTAAAATAAAATCGGGAAACATTAGGGAAATTATAATAATTAGGATCGTAACATGAGTAATAATATTTGGAAGAGTTATAATTATTTAAGTTATTAATTATCAGCAGCAATTAAAATATTACTAAATTTCTATTTCAGAAATCGGAAAAACTAAAGATATTATTTCATCTGAAAAAAGTGCTTCAATAAGTCCAAAAGAAAAGGAGCATTCCACATGTATTGTGCAAGAAGAATAATGCGATGGTAAAATATCAAGTTTTAAGCATGAAATTTAAAAACAATAATTTAAAAAAATAGTTTTTCAAAACAAACAATGTAAATGAAAAAATTGTATCTTTATTTATTTATCGGAATAATAATATTTTTAAATGTTTTAATTATTTAAAAAGTGAAAATCTTTAAATTAGCAGCGATTAAAATATTACGAAATTTCTATTTTCAAAATAACTTCAAAAAAATGTACTCGTTTTAAATAGAAATACTTGATACTTATTTTTCTCAGCAATTATAAAAAATATATTTTTCTTGTATCTGAGTAATAATATTTGGAAGAGTTATAATTATTTAAGTTATTAATTATCAGCAGCAATTAAAATATTACTAAATTTCTATTTCAGAAATCGGAAAAACTGAAGATATTATTTCATCTAAAAAAAGTGCTTCAATAAGTCCAAAAGAAATGGAACCTTCCACAACTATTGTGCAAGAAGAACTGTGCGATGGTAAAATATCAAGTTTTGCACATGAAATTAAAAAATTTTGATCTACTACTGACGTTTTCTTTGTCTTTCTTTTCATTTTTCTATAGATAAGAACTTTCCTTTTTTCCTTTAAACAATTGAATTCTTAAAGAATTTAATAAAATTATTTTATAATAATTTTATTTAAATAACCCTATCAAAATAATCTCATTCGACGCATAATGAAATACACTTTAAATATAATTATCAGAAAAAAATATTTCGTTTAAAATTTTTCCGATAATTAGATTTAAAGTTGAGAAAAATTGCTTAAAAATCTACAATCACTTATCTTCTTTTCAATGTTTGTTAAATCTCTCTACATACTTGGCTCGACAATGAAAAGGAGGAAGGAAATATTCTTGTAAGTGTATAGTTATTCGGCTGATTGATTGTGTCACCCCGTTTAAGTCCTACCCACGTCTTATTAATTTAACAATATTAAAATCTTAAATAGGCTGCCACATTTTTGGCGCCCAACGTGATTTTTTTGTGTGAAAAACTTGCATTTTAAAAAAAAATTACCTTTACCGCGCCTGAACAGCAGTTCACTGCCATTTTCGAAAACAAAATAGTTTCTTTTTCGAATTATTCTCTCGCGCTAAAAGTCATATTAAATTATAACCAGCCGAATTTCCGTACCTTACTGCTATTTATTGCCAGTTATTTTGCTTTATAAAATTTTATTTATTATAATAAATACTATGAAATCAAGCATGCTCAATTTTTCCTGATCTCTCACTGCTTTCGCCTGCACCAATCTCGCACTGCACTACGAACAATACAAAATTATAAATTTTTTGCTTATAATCACACCAATCTCACTATACTTCGCTTTTAAAAAAAAAATAAAAATAATATCTGATAATTATTTAAATTGTTTTTGTAATTCGCTCAAAATAGAATAATTATTATTTAAATTATTTTTGTACTTCGCTTTGTAAAACTGCTTACTGCTTTTACATTTCTGCCAATTTTTTTTCTACGCTAATATAAATAATCGCATTTTATCATAAAATATCTTTGAATTGATTCTCGCCAATTTTCTCGACTATCATGCGTGACAAAAAATGATTAAATAAATTTTTGTCAATACGGTAGCTAAAATTGCTACAACAAAATACGGAATTGCGAGTTTCCAGCTTGATTAGCGCGACGAAAACACAGCTGTGTTTACTATCACAGCACAAATACCTTGCTTCTTTCAGGTCTTCGAAATTACAGAAATAATGAAATTTTAATTTTATTTCAATGACTTCTGTATAATCTTTCTATTAAAGAGAGAAACTATTTTGAGAAAGGGAAAAATCTAATCAATTTAAAAAAAAATAATTTTATTAATAAAAGTTTGATTATCGAAATTAAAACGAAATGTAACTTTTATTTTCCTCTGAATTAATAAATAAAATTAATTAACAATTGAAGCAGGAGAATAAAAATTACCAATAATAAAATTGACAAAAATTCTATTAATAATTAAATTAACAAAATAGAAATTATTAACAATTAAATTGGTAAAATAAAAATGTGTTAAAAAAAAAATTTTGAATTGTTAAATCAAAATTTCTTCAATGATTAAATTGAGAAAAGAAATTCTTTTTTCTCACTAATAATTGGATAAATCAAAAAAAAAATAATAAAAGAAAATAACTTAATTTGAATACAGTAATTCCCAAAATTCAAGCGCAATAAATTGCCTTGAATTTAAACAAACTACTGAATTTTTAAAAAATTTTTTTTCCAGCGCAATAATTAAATTGAATTAAATCGCCAACAAAATCTTTTTTTTTATGTGTAAAACGACCTAATTACTTAATAGTAATCAATCAATAAATTCCAATTTTTTAATTATTGAATTTTTTCTTCCTTTCTCAGAATTAAATAAAGTTGATTTAGCCAATTAACTAAATTAACTTATAAACAAAAATTTTTTTTTATTTAAAATTTTTTTTTATCTTTCTCTTTTTTAACTATGGGAAGAAGAAGCCCAAAATCAAACACACAAAAAATGCAAACTCGTTCTGACACGAATGCATTTAAAAGAAGTGACAAAATGACTCGCAGCCCCACACAATCCACAAAAAAAAATAACAACATTACCGAACACATTCCACAAGAAGAAATATGGAGCGCAACTAGAGAAAATTTAGAAACTATTTTTCCACAAAATCAAAGACCTCCTACACCAACAGAAAATTTTAGCCCAATTCACAGCGATATCGAGGAAAACGAAACCGCTCGCGCTAATATTCCAGGAGAAAATGAAACTTTGTTAGATAACACAACTGACATTTTCAAAGATACTAACACAAACGACCAATTACAGACTTCATTAGGAGCAATCTCGAAAACATTATTTTCTCGCCGCGGCCGTAAAACCAAACACCCGGTAGCTCCAATCACAACTTCACACTTAAAATCATTTTTTACACAGGTTGAATCTTTTGCTTACAACCAAGCAGAAGAGAACAGAAAATTTAAAGACGAAATGAAAAACATGTTACGGAACCATCTTGAAAATTCTAGCCAAGAAATACGCATAGCACACAAAGAAAACCACTTCGAAATAACCGCGCTTAGAAAAGAAACTTCTAATTCAATAGAAAAACTTCGCGCTGAAATGAAATCCCAAATTCAAGACCTTACGAATAAAATGTCGCAAATGCAAACGGGACATGCGCCATCCCCATGGCACGACTCTCGTTGGGCATATGATAATAGTGGTGAACATATTCCACATGCACAACAGACTAGTTTACCCCCCACTACAACAACCACAACGGTCACATTCACGGGTAACACTTCGACTGTAAGTCAAAGTACAACTGCAGTTGCACCACCAACATGCCCACCACTTTCTTATGCTACACCTTCGCGACAACGCTCTTCTACAAACCGTACATTACATTTCGCCGAACAACCAGATTATTTGTTTCAAACACCCTTAAATTCAAACACAAATAATCATGATTTAATTGATATGCATTCGAACCCGGCTCTTAACGCATCTATCGCGCAACGAACTCACGTTCCAAATTTGCATAAAATCATTAAATCGTGGGACCTCAAATTTCCCGGAAAACAAGATGCAAATGAATTTCTCGACGAATTTGAAAGAAAAATGACCGCTTCAGCAATCGATCCCAACGACGCGCTTCCGATTTTTTCCCAAACGCTCACAGATACCGCGTTTTCATGGTTCAACATGTTTCGCCATAAATGGACAACATGGACCGAATTTTCTAAATCATTCCGAAAAACATTTAGCGATGTAAACGACGATAACCAAATCCTCAATAAAATACATCGCGCGGTTCAATTAGAAAACGAAACAGGGATAGACTACGTCATAAAAATCGGCGCGCTCTACAACAAACTGAGAAATAAAATTCCAGAAAATATTCAGCTCGATAAAATTTATCTAAGTCTGCATTCGGAATTAATTTCTCTTTTCGATCGCGACAGCTTCAACTCTTATGAAGAACTTTTAGATAAGATACGCAAATACCAAGAAAAAATCGAATTTATGCAGCAATCAAATAAATTGCACGAACAAGACGCGAAACGGTCTCGTAACCCGCGCAATAGAAACCAATTGAATGCAATCGATTCGCAGGTATCTCAATCCAAAACCCCTTCCGTCGAATCTACCGAAAATGATAAAAAAGCAGAAAATAAACAAAAACAAGCGAATAAAAGTAAACAAAAAGCGAAACCAGAGCCCGAACAAAACTTAAATAAAATAGACATCTATCAAAAACAGTTCAAGTCTCTTAAATAAAAATTAAATATAAGCGATGCAGAAAATTCCAAAGCGAATAAATCTAAGAGCGCTTTGATCAGTCCGAACAAACCTTCGTCTTCTCACAGATCGCGCAAACGTTCCACTTCTACTTCTTCTCACTCCTCAAGCTCTGCTTCGTCGCAGAAAGGGGGGGAAAAGCGTAGATCGTCTGCGCACAAGAAAAGCGAAAATCCTCGTGGCCAAAACGGTCGTGGAAATGGCCAACGAGGCGGAAACAATCAAAATAATCGCGGACGCGGTTATAACAATGGTTGGAATGGCAGTGGCCGTGGTTACAATCAAAACCAAGGCTACTACCATAACTCCCCCCACTCTCCGCAATACTACCAGCTAGATTGCCAGTGCAGCGCGCAAAACGTAAGACCTCCTTGTCCCCCGCACGCGCCTCCACCGCAACCAACGCAGCCACCATGGCACGGTAATTACAACCGCGATTACTCACAAAACTACGGTCACAACGCGCAGGATAATCAATCAAAAAACGACAGAGATGCCAGGAGAGACTAGATCTCCCTGGCAAAACCCCATCTAAACAAAACGAAAATCGACCGATAAACTACTTAAACGAAATTGATACTTCTTCAAATTCAGAAAGCATCCCTATCGCTAATGAATCAACGTACAATCCTCAAATAGCATCAACACTAAACAAAGCGCATGCAGGTAGGATTGATACTAGTGATTCTGAGAGCGATTATGATGATTGCTTATATTCTGAATCTGAGACTGAGTACTCTGAATCTGAGGAAGATTGCTCTCCCACAATAGGCGCGTGCATATCTTCACTCAGATCGTTGCCACTGATTAATCAGTCGAACAATTTATTTGTATTGACTGATAAAACTAAGCGCAGAGTACACAAAGGGCACGCATCGCCCTCACCGCCTCAGGAAAGATGTACAATTTCCACGGTAATCAAAATCGGTAACGAAAGAATAACAGCGCTTCTTGACACAGGTAGTGATCGAACTTTCATGTCAGGAGAACTTTTTGACAAACTCGAAAGTTTAGCTAACGGCGATCCGATTAAGGACGCGATAACGCGCGCCGGCGTACAACTCGCGCAACGCGATCACGTAGCCGCACCTCGCCATTCCGTAAAATTCGATATCGAAATAGATAATTGCCACGGTGAAATATGGTTTGCCGTTCTCGACGGTCTAACTACACCAGTCATTTTAGGCATGGACTTTATAACTAGTTGGCAAGTTATTATTGACGCAAGCCAAGGTTATTGGTCCATGAAAGGGTCCTCGGTTCGTCACCCTTTAGGCTCCATTTCCAATGCACGTAGCTTCCTAAATTCGGCTCAATTAATCAAATTATCTCCGGAACAAAGGAATAAATTGAATGCGTTTTTAGATGATAAATTATCGAAATTTACCTCTGGAACCGGTGTTACTAATTTAACGACACACGTTATAGAGCTCACCGATCCAACGCCATTTAAATTGAAACCTTATCGCCGCAGCTTAGAAGCGAACAAAATAATTAACGATCAAATTGACATTTACCTAGACAAAAAGTTTATTGTTAGGAGCAATGGACGTTTTGCTAGCCCAGTGGTGCTCACTTATCGTAAGGATGGTAGGCCTAGAGTATGCATGGACTTCCGAAAGTTGAATAAGAACACAAAGAAATCAGCATACCCTTTGCCACGTATGAAAACCATACTTGATGCGCTATCTGAGGCTAACATTATTAGCACCATTGATTTAACCGACGCGTTTCACCACATACCAATTGACCCGAAATCGCGAGAATACACCGCCTTCGTTGTCCCTGGTCGTGGACAGTTTGAATGGGTCAGAATGCCCTTCGGACTCACAAATGCGCCGGCAACTTTCCAAGCTCTAACCGATAGACTGAAAGAAAAGTTCGTAGAACACATTCGCGCTAAAAATCTGCCCGAACATTACTGCGAACAAGTTCACGCGTATCTCGACGATTGGATAATAATATCCAAAACATTCGAAGAACATATTCTGCTTCTCGATGTAGTCCTTACCATTCTACAGGAAGCAGGATTGTCTATCAATCGCGATAAATCCTATTTCGCGAAATCGTCAGTAGAATATTTAGGTTTCATCCTAGACAAAGATGGTTTAAAACCAAACGCGAAGCGTGTCGAACCAATCCTCGAACGAGCAACTCCTCGTAACCGAAAAGAGTTGCGCCGGTTTAACGGCTCAGTGAACTGGTATCACCGTCACTTGCGCAATATTGCAAAAGTGCAAGGACCACTAAATAAATTAGCGAGTCCCAAGGTACCTTGGAACTGGACCGAAGAACACGAGGCCGCGTTCAACGAAGTTAAAGAATCTTTAAAAAGCGCTTTAACTTTAGTCGCGCCTAAGCCTGGCTTACCTTTTTACTTGTATACCGATGCAAGCGACACCGGTATTGGTGCTATCTTGACACAGCAAGATGGAGAAAAAGAGTACTTGATCACGTGCTTAAGCAGACCTTTAAGGGGTGCGGAATTAAATTACACCACCACCGAAAAGGAATGTTTGGCCGTTATCTTTGCTATTAAAAAGCTCCGCTGTTACCTCGAATGCGCTGAATTTACTGTGATAACAGATCATTCCAGTTTAATTTGGTTGCAAGGTCTCAAAGACCCAAAAGGTAGACTTGCGCGATGGGCTCTCGAGCTTTCCGCAAACAGTGTCAAGATCGAGCACAGAAAAGGTACAACTAATGAAGCGCCGGATACGCTTTCGCGACTTTACGAAGACGATACTAGCGATACGCACGTCACCGAACTAAATTCTGTTAAAAGTCAAAGTTGGTACGACCAGATGCTAGAAAAAGTTCGTAAAGATCCCTCGCGCTACGAAAGATACAAAGTTGATTCGAACAATCAACTATACTACTATAAACCAAATATGGTTAAAGAAACCATCGGCGATAATAACGCCTGGAAAAAGATCCTTAAAGAAAACGAAATTTTACCGATTATTACCTAGCATCATTGCACTACTCAATCCGCGCACCAAGGCATCAATAAAACTTATCTTTCGATAATTAACCATTTTTATTGGCCCGGTATGCGCGAAGACATCAAGCGTTACGTTAATGAATGCGAGACTTGCCTCAAGTGTAAACCAAAAAATACACCCCCACAAGGCTTAATCTATCCGCGCAAAATTACGGAACCTTGGGAAACAGTGTCACTCGATATAGTAGGTCCCCTACCTCGGTCGAAATCTGGTAAAAGCTACATATTAGTTTGCGAAGACACATATACTCGTTACATAGACTGCTTCGCGCTATCCAAAGCAGACGGTCCAAAGATTGTAAAATGTTTAAACACTCTTGTTAACCGCTGGGGAGCGCCTAGAATCGTTATTACTGACAACGGTACAGAGTTTGTAAACCGCAACATTACATCGTTTTTACAAAAAATCGGTTCAGTACAACGTACAACACCCGTATATCACCCTCAGGCTAACCCTGTTGAGCGCGTGAATCGTAATTTAAAAACTATGCTAGCGAGCCTTCTCGGTGAAAACCAGCGCGAATGGGATACTCTACTCGAAGATATCCAGTTTGCATACAACACTACCGTTCACACTTCCCTTGGAGTCACACCAGCTTTTCTAAACTTTGCCCGTGAACCAAGACGAACAGGCGAACCACCGCGCGAGGTAAACACTGACACAAACACAGACGAGACGCTTAACACTTGGTTAGATCGCGTAAAACAAATAGATGCGCTTCGCGCAAAAGTTGAACAACTTATGACTAAGGCCAGTAAAAAGCAAGGCAAGATATATAATAAATATCGGAAAAATAATATTGACTTTCAACCTGGAGATTTCGTATTCTACCCTAATAACGTCTTGTCTAACGCTGCACGTGGTTATAGTTCCAAACTAGCGCCACGTTATAAAGGTCCAGCAAAAGTTCTAGAAAAATTGTCACCCATGATAGTTTCCATCGGCAATATGCATGGCAAAAAGTTAGGGAAATATCACATAAACGATTTAAAACCGGCAAGAAAAAACCTTAGATCGCGTACTATTTTGTAAACCTCCTTTTCAGATATCAATTCTACAATATGGAGTCTACAACCAGCGCGAAAGCACCAACAACCATCGATGTATCCGAGGTTATGGCTGTATACTTTGCTTCTCCGCCAGAGGGTCAGCAAATAGATGACGCCAAGTTAAAATTCGAGGAATCACCGACGGGTTTGGTCGCGCTTTCCAAGTCCGCTTTCAACAAAATTGTCGCCGAGCGCGATAACTTTTTGGCTCAACTAAAAAAGGCCGACAAAACAATCGCCAAACTGCGCAAAGAGGTCAACACCCCAGTCCCTAGCATCAATGCGGATATTGCTGAACAAAACCGCGAAATCATTCGACTGAATCAAGAGCGTCGTAAAATGTCCGATCGTCTTACTGCAGCAGAGACGGAATCTAAATCTTCAGCCGAACAAGAGGCCAAATTCAAGGCCGAAGCCCAATCCTACAGGAAGGATTACAACGAATTAATAGCAGATTATTATCATATCGAAGACCAGTATTACCGTCTGCACAATCTCTTAAAATCCAGCATTAAAGAGGTTTTCCGCGCCATGACCGAGCTGCGCGAACCTAGACTACGCCCGAAAGCTCCAGATGGATGCCTCAACTGTGGAGTCTCTGGCCACAGCTACCGCTCGTGCGCAAAGGAATATACGGGTCTCTTCTGCCAAATTTGTTCTCACCCAGACTTCTCGACAGATGACTGTCCATGGCCGCACTATTCAGAATTGCCTAAACAACTACCTGACCACAAGCGGTGCAAGTGCTGCTGACGTCCGCGCAACATGCCGGACCCGAACTGCTACGACTGTCGCAAACGTATGATACAAGAAAACATCGCGCTGCGCAACCAACTTGCCATCGAATTGGAGATTAAACACTCACTTCCTCCGGCATTACCTAGGGAACCAAGCAAAAACGATGACAATCCCTCACCACAAGAAGAAGAAGGACTGACGCAGAATACTTGTGCTCAAGAAGCCCTGCTCCTCGGTGCCGAAGCGTTACAAAAATTGTCCCCACACGCTTCAGACGTCGCCAACGCTACCCTTTGGCAAAGCTTAGCTCAAGCCTATAGCCTCGTCGTTGATAAGGACGACACTCTTCAAGAAGAAGACGAAGAAGATGAGAAGAAGTGATCCTCTTTAGTGCGTGTCCATCCTCATAAACTATTTTTATTTTTGATTATTTTATGCCGTTGCATAAACCTTTATTATTTTATTACTTATTAAATTTAATATCTAAGTTACAAAAAAAAATTTTCTTTCGTTTCTCAACGACTATTTCATTTATGATTTCAAGCGCCGTTGCGCATTAGAATTATATTCTATTTTCTTAAATTCTTTTTGTTAACTAAAATTCAAGGTATTATTACGCCAACAGTATTCAGCGAACAACATTACATTGTATCGCGCGGAAAAATTCCAAAGAATAATTTTAGGTTAACCTACCAAAGGAAGGTCAAAGTGCCTTTATAATTGTCTACCTCATCGCTAAGACTTATTGAAAATAAGTATACTCTAATAAACTAAGTGAATAATAAATTCAGTCTAAATTAATACTATCTAGTTAATCATACCAGCTATTATTTTACGATTGATTATTAGGATGAGCAGTGAGACATCAGTGATAAAATAATTCTAAATCCTTTTTCCTTCTTTTCTATAGTTTATTTGAAGTTTATAATGATATTATTATTAATAATTATTGATTACTTTCTTTTATGTTTCTTTTAACTTTAAACTTCTAAATTGTTTTTCTTACTAGCCAAGATTTCATAGAATGGAGAAATTTAGCAAACTAGACTAATTCAGAGCGCTAGTAACGATTTAGAAAGGGGGAATTGTAACGATCATAATCATTCCTGTATTATCAATCGTTACAATCGCTCATATTATCATTGTTAATTTGATATTAGTTAGTAAGAGCTTATTTGAATTCGCGCCCTAGCGCCAAATTTTGTCACCAGGCGCCGCACGCGCCGGAATTAGCAGACGACAAAAGCACATGTTGCTTTTGCCGGTTGAAGCACCTCAGATTGGTGTGAACCACGTTTTGATACATAGCCTCTGCGCTTATACAATTTGTAATTGAAAAATCAAAGTTTAATAAATATTGTAAGTGTGTTTCTAAATTGCGCTATTATTTGTTACTGTTTCCATTATCATCTACAAAACTCAGCGCAGATTGCAGTGCAGATTGCAGTGCAGATCAAGAAGGAAATACAAGTAAGTTTGTTAAATCTCTCTACATACTTGGCTCGACAATGAAAAGGAGGAAGGAAATATTCTTGTAAGTGTATAGTTATTCGGCTGATTGATTGTGTCACCCCGTTTAAGTCCTACCCACGTCTTATTAATTTAACAATATTAAAATCTTAAATAGGCTGCCACACTGCTGCAGAGGAGGTAGCTTGCAAACGAACTATACAGTTCAATTCATTTTCTTATCATTAAGTTCTGTCGCCCAAAAACTACGCGTCACGGTTGTCTTGAAGCAAAATAAAGTTTTTCTACGTCGCCAAAAAAAATCATTTGTACAATCTTTTAGAGCGTCATCTCAAGATTCAAAATCAATAAATATTGAAATCCCAGCTGCTCGTCCTTGCGTTTTTTCAACAAATACTGTTTTCATTGAGGTGTACTTGCGTTTGCGAAGGCAAAATATTGGCCCCACTTTACTGTCTTTTTCGCAGTCATAATATTTAAAAGATTAAAAACTGTTTTTGCACCTTAAAATATAATATTAAAACTACAAAAAGAAATAATTGTTTCTTTTTTCAACTATTATTTACGATTTGTAGAGGGCGCCAAAGTATGGCGATCTCTAATTCGTAAGATTTTGCGGTGCCCCCGATATAGCCACTCCTGACAGTCTGAAATCAAAAAAACAAAATTTTTTTCTTAGTATACATAAATACCTAGTGGACGTATGTGATGGAATTAAAAAAAAGTAAAAAAACGAAAATGGCGCCCTTTTAAAGTAAAAAATTTAAAAGATCAAAATCATCGTTTCTTAAAAATTGACTTTAAAAGGTCGCCATTTTCGTTTTTTTTACTTTTTTTAATTCCATCACATACGTCTACTAGGTATTTATGTGTACTAAGAATTAAATTTTGTTTTTTGACTTTAGACTGTCAGGAACTGCTGTATCGGGAGCACCGCTAACTCTTACAAATTAGAGATTGCCATACTTTGGTGCCCTCCACAAATCGTAAATAATAGTTGAAAAACGAAACAATTGTTTCTTTTTGTAGTTTTAATATTGTATTTTAAGGTGCAAATAAAGTTTTTATTATCTTTTATTATCTTTTAAATATAATTAGGACTTTTTTCGGAGCAAGCAGGTGAATCTATTCATCGACATTTTTTGGAAACTTGGAAAAGTTATAAAGTTAACGATTTAAATCAGGGACCGTCACGGAATCAAAACAAAATTAAAAAATACTTTTGTTTTGATTCGGATATGGGTATCAGAATCAAAATTCCACTCTATTTAGTTCTGATTCCAATATCAAAATTCCACTCTATTTAGTTTTGGTTCCAATATCAAAATTCCACTCTATTTCGTTTTGGTTTCAATATCAAAATCAAAATTCCATTCTATTTAGTTTTGATTCCAATATCAAAATCAAAATTCTTTCTTGTTTTAATTTTGATAAAATACTACTGCGCATGTATAAGTCTCATTAAACCTAAATTTTGTTGCAAATGTCAAATATATCAGAAGATAATATCGTTTTTACATAAGAAATCTGAAGTAGAATTCGAATCGACTTCTGTTTCTATAAGAAAACCGAATTCCAGTATTACAGTATTAGAATCAAAATAGGAAGTAAATTTTGTTTCGTTACAGTATCAGAATCAAAATAGGAAGTGAATTTTATTTCGTTACAGTATCAGAATCAAAATAGAAAGTAAATTTTGTTTCGTTACAGTATCAGAATCAAAATAGGAAGTAAATTTTGCTTCGTTACCGAATCAAAATCAAAATACATTAATAATTTCGTTTTGTTTTGGAATATCGTAACGAAATCAAAATTTGATTTCTGTGACGGTCCCTGATTTAAATCATCCTGCATACCTAAAGAAATTGAAAAGTGCTGTTACACAATTTTCTTCTCTGAATATTTGAATTACAGTTTTGTAAATATACATTAAATATGTATGTATATTGTGTATTATTGTACAAGTAGTTTTATCGTATTAAAAAGTATAAATTGTTTAATCATATAAATTTGTAACTATTTTATTAAAAAAATACCACTCTTATTTGCGACCAGTTGTTCTTTATTAATTTTTATGTGCACTCACCATTGATAATTTTTTTATTTTTATTTTTTTATATAACAAATTATTAAAAAAATGTTCAAATTATAAAATCTAACTCGAATTAAATTAATATATAAATTTACTAAAACGGAAAGAAAATAATTTTAGAAATTAAAAAATTTTTTTTAATGAAAATCTTATTTTTTCGAAGAAACGCTAGGACGAGCAGCTGGGATTTCAATATTTATTGATTTTGAATCTTGAGATGACGCTTTAAGAGATTGTACAAAAGATTTTTTTTGGAAACGTAGAAAAACTTTATTTTGCTTCAAGACCACCGTGGCGTGTATCGCAAAATGAACTGATCAGTAGTCGAATGCTGCAAATACTCTGCAAACACTGTAATATTTATTGTTTCTAATTTTTTCGCGTTTTTATCTTAGAAAATACCGTTAGATTCGAAAAATCAATTTACGCTCAATGTACCGTTCGATAAAAAAAACATTGTACGCGTTTTGTCGAACCTGATGATTTTCGAGCTTTTAGGAATTTTTTTTATGGGGGTGAGGGTCGCCCGAAAACTGCGCCTGTATCTCAAAATGAAGTGATCGGTAGTCGACTGCTGCAATTACTCTCTTCGTGAGAAAACCACCTTCATTGCACGCTTTTACTGCTGCAGAGGAGGTAGCTTGCAAACGAACTACAGTTCAATTCATTTTCTTAGTATTCAGTACTGTCACCCAAAAACTACGCGTGTATTGCTAAATGAAGTGATCGGTAGTCGATAATGCTGCAATTACTCTCTTCGTGAGAAAACCACCTTCATTGTGTTGTGAAAAAATGTTTATAATATATAGGTTATTCAATAAGGTCCTTCGTTATTTAATTAATAAAACAAAAGTTGTAGCTTAATCTTCGGTTCACAACAACCACTTAAAATGAATTTAAATGTTTTTATTTATGGGATCGTGTATTCTTCTTCTCTTTATATCTCGATTAATTTAATTTTCAATCTATTGTTAATTTAGGACTTTTAGGAATTTCATTAGGGATTGCAGATAAGAACTATGGGTTCAGAACAATTTAACATCTTGTTTAGACCAAATAAGATATTATATTTATTTAGCAATAGTCATAATTGATTTTTACTTATAATAAAAAAAAAAAAAAAAAAAAATTTTGTAGGATTTTTCAGAAACAAGCAACGGAAGTTTTATGCAGTTACATGTTACGTAAAATTTAGAAACGTTTAATTATTTTCAGATACATAGGACTGAACAAATATTCAGTCCAATTCAACAAAAATTTTGTGACCGTTTCGTAATTTTCAGTAATGCGTAACAGCATAAAACTTCCGTTGCTGTTTTCTGAAAATTTTGTTACAGTTTCGTAATTTTTTGTAACACGTCACAGCTTGAATTTGCCGTTGCTCCTTCCTGAAAATTTTGATACAGTTTTGTTCAGTTTTGATGAATTAACTATATGTAACTAAAATGTTACATATTGTTTA